TGTCTGCTTATTGGGTTTAAGAGGCAGCAGAAACGCCCGTGTCTTTTGCAGTTTCAGTCAGATGGTATTTGTCTTTCTCAGACTAAATTATTTTGTTTAGCATAATGCTCTCCAGGTCCATCCAGACTATGGCAAAAAGTAAGGTTCCCTTCTTTCTTGTACCTGAGTAGTAGTAGTCCATTGTGTAAATGTATTATGGCTTTTCTGCTGCTCATCTGCTGATGGGCACTTGGGCTGTTTCTGGATCTTGGCTATTGTAAATGACCCTGCAATGTGAGGGATGCATATTAACAAATATATGCCAATTCCTTTTAAATAATACTAATAAAATTTTTATATGTAAAATTCAATTACAGAACTATAAGTAATCTAAATATAATATTTTTATTTTTATTTTTTTAGTTTATGTGAAGAATTTATTAAAGTTCATTAGAAAGTAACAGTTAAAGTTTCCCAGTGCTTTGCACAAATAAATATTTTGTAATTATTTGCTTATTGTTTTACATTACATAATAATTAGTTTTTTTTAATTTTTATTTAGTTATTTTTCAAGTACAGTTTTCTGTCTATTTCTCCCATCCCAGCCTCCTGATTTTTTTATTCAATATCAGTTTTATTTAACATCAGTTTTGTTGCTAGTAAAGTCATTAGGTTTTAGTTTGGGGACATATTTGGGTATCTAATGAGTGATATGAAGACATTTTCTAAAAATATTCTTTTAAACATGGTATTGCATGTACTTCAAAGAAATCATAGACCTACAGAGGATAAAGAACCTGATATGTACTTTTTAAATGTAATTATTTGATGTTTTCTTTTCAACTGAATTTCTACATACTTTGTTTTTATGTAATTTTTTGTACTTAATTTATAATTTTCTAGGAGAAAATAAATATTGGTCTGAGCATTTAATCTCTTTATATTAATTATGTATATTTCTTATGTAATTCTTTATATATAGACTGGGAGTGAATTATATGCTTTAAAAGAAACACTATGCACCAGGTACTTGAAATGCAGCAGGCCTTTTAAAATAATATCACAATTTGACCTAACATATGCTTAGAAAATAAACTAATTCTTACTTCTATCACCTGTCCCATTTGCTTATAATTTAGGGATTTAGGAAATTTGGATTTAAGGGGAAATTTCATTTTTTTATAATAAAAAATAAAAAATGTAAGAGAACAGTGAGAAATATTGCTACCTGAATCCCTTAACTAATTTTAGGGTAAAGGCAAAAATCCCCAAATGCTCTGTCAGCAAACATGTGCTAGAGTGAAGAAGTAAACATTGAAGAGATAGACTCCCAGATTCAGTCAAGTCAGTCTTATGGAAGCAATAGGTTTAATTTTCTTTTCTGCCATTCTCAAAATCCAAGGAAATACTGGAATAGCATTGCTTTGATCAGGTCTTACTCCACTACCTGAAATGCTATGCATGTTTGGGTTTTGATTTTGCTTGCGTGTGTGCGTGTTTGTGTGCTTTTGACAATGTAGCCCAGATCATGTGTTCTGAAAAGCTTCCCCTTCTAAAGCACAAAGCAGGCATCACTACTAGTTCTATTGCATTTTTCAGAGACTTTATAGGCTGTTTTTTACTTATCCTTGCCCCATATTTTCTTCTATGTATCATTATATTCAAGAAATTAAATGTCTTAAGGGAGTCATTAAATTCTTGAGATTTTCTTAAATCCCTCAAGAAGCACAGAACACATTCAACATATCCTTTTAATCAGAAGGTTAACCCCAGGGACCCTACTCCCCTTAGACTAAGGTAAATACAGAACTGAATGTGTTATCCAAATCTATCTTCTGAGATGATTGTATTTTGATTACCTCATGCTTGCTTTCTCACCCTGGAGGTTTACGCCTTTGGTTCTCATATATTAAAGAAGGTGGAATTTCAATGCTGCTACTTACAACTCCTATCATTCACTTAATTTCTGAATGACCATAAACATCAGATACATTGAATTGTTGTTTTTGTGTTTTGTTTTTGTCTTTGTTTAGGAGGTAATGTGTTAGAAATAAAACATGGGGATGAGAGATCATGAGGTTTTTACATGAGCTAAGGTGCTGGATACTTGTTCTTCCACTGGTAAGTTCTATTAACTTATTTGAATATCCCATGCACATACATCTTGCAAATCAGTTAAAAACACACAAAAAAAATAAAGATGGGAAAGAAAAATGATGCTCAGCTTTTAATCTGATAAACACTTAAAATGACGAGGAGTGGGATCCACTTGTAATTTGGCCACTTATTCCTACTCCTCATCCTACACTATTTCAACTTTCCACATTAACATCAAAATTGTTCTGCAAATTCTAATGGAACAATGGAAATGCAATGTTTTAATTTAATTTTAAATATTCTTTCCTAAAGTGTGGCAGACTCCAGCCAGCATAGTCTGCCTGTTGTGGCTGATGATGAGAATAAATGCATAGGCCATGAAAATTCTGTGGAGAAAAAGGGAACGGCAGGGCTACTCTCCAGAGTGCCTATGGGTGCCTCGGCCACTCCCTCAAGAGGGGAGCACCTGGACCCTTGCCTAGACAGGCTTTTATTGTTTTCCTCAGGTCTTACATCAGAGAAAGATTTATTATCTATTACACGGAATATTGTTATCTATATTTTAGGTACAATCAAGATGAAAATAGCATGCAGAGGGGAATGGCAAGGAGCTGATTAGCTCTCTCCTTGGGAAAACTCATACATGCTTTGGACATTACCTTGAAGATAGACAGTACACATTTGTTGTTTTAGCAAGAGCAAGCCATAACAATCCGTATGTACCTTCTAGGCCTGATTCTCACAAGAAAATTCAGTTTGAAGGTCTGGCTCCTGCCCACCACTTCGCTTCTGTAGGTTTTCCATACAGAGATGAGTCACATTTGCCAGACCAAAACAAATTGGTCCCCTACACTAAAGGATTAATTGAAATCCAACATAACTACTTATTTCCTTGGGGATTACTCACCTGTCAGCAATGAAGTCTAACATAGTCATCTGTTCATTTATTATTATTGTGGTAATCTGGCAATGGGCTCTTTTATGAGTTTTACTTACTGTCCTCAAAAGTAGTGTCTATGTCTCATAAGTGAAAGAATGAAGCCACCAAAATCATCATCTTTTATTTAATGGAGGTAAAGCTACCATAAAGTATTTATTTCTATTTTGATATAAATGTGAAAATATAGTTAAGTTATTCAGATAAAATGAAATAAAAATCAACAAATTTACATTGACTTAGTAGGAAAGACATTGCATATTTAAAGAAATGATTGCAACATAAAAATTATGAGGAAGTACCTACGTTTTAAAGATTTACTTTATTTTATGGGAACTCCTTTGTAGGTGACTGTCCCCTTATCTCTTGCTACTTCTAGGATTCTCTCTTTCACTTTAATCTCGACTAATATAATTATGATGTGCCTTGCTGTGTTCCTTCTTGGGTCCAACTTCTTTGGGACTCTCTGAGCTTCCTGGATTTCCTGGAAGTCTATTTTCTTTGCCAGAATGGGGAAGTTCTCTTTTATTATTTGTTCAAATAAGGTTTCCACTTGTTACTGGTTCCTCTTTCCCTATGGTACTCCTATAATTCAGATGTTGGAGCGTTTAAAGATGTCCTAGAGGTTCCTAAGCCTCTCCTCATTTTTTTGAATTCTTGTTTCTTCATATTTTTCTGTTTGGTCATTTTCATTTAGAAGGGAAGGACAGATAAAGTGCTTCTCAGATAAGATCAAATTCAAGGAGTTCATCATCACCAAGCCCTTATTATATGAAATGTTAAAGGGACTTACCTAAGAAAAAGAAGATAAAAAAGATGAACAGTGAAAGGACAGCAAACTCACAGTTATTGACAACCACACCTAAAACAAAAGCAAATTAAGAGGACAGCTAGATCAGGAGTGAACCATAGAAATGAAGATCACGTGAAGGGTTAGCAGCAGGGGAGTGGGAGAAGGAGAAGGGGGGAGAAGGTACAGAAAATAAATAGCATAGACAGTAGATAGAAAATAGGGGGAGGGTAAGAATAGTAGGGGAAATATAGAATCTAAAGAACTTGAGACACATGTTCATGAACTAAAAGGCGGAATGGTGGGGGAGGGGTGTGAAGGGGGGAGGGGAATAAAGGGGGGAAATAGAACAAATGTAATGGCATAATCAATAAAATAAAAAATATATATTATAAAAAAAGATTTATTTGATTTTATGGGTTTGCTCTGCTTTTTCTCAGAAAAAGCTTAGACTCCGTTTCCTGAGTTTCAGAGTGGTATTTCCAATGGATATGAAAGACCAATTATAGACTCTTGTTATCCACTGTGCTCCATATCCCATCTCAGAGTGCCCTCTCCCTTTTCCCAGCTAGCAGTCTTCTCCAAAGCCAGTGCCTCTGGCCAATTTCTAAGGGTGGCTCAGAGGTGGTGGAAGTCAGGACTCTGCCTTTCGTTACATCAAGTTTAAACAATGTGGAGTATCAACAAAACAGAAAGGCATAGGTAGAATATCTTGCTTCAAATTCCACAGTACAGTTTATTTTTCCATCTTGATATATTTGACATCAAGTACTTTTACATCCGAAATAGGGAGTTCAAAAGAGTTTCATGGTAACATAGATTAAAATATCAATTTTGAATAGTGTGCTTTCTAAACTGGATTTCTTTATATATTTTAGAATGAAATTTACTCATTCCCCCCCTTCACATTAAAACCAGCATTTTAAATGCACCCTGAAGCTGGAACATTAATGTTTTTATTTTTCACCATGGAATTAATTTCCTTACAGAACAGGAAAATAAACACTGCTTGAAAAGACTAGAGACTTTCCAGTTAAAAATTTCTAATTTTACAGATAAAACAACCAGAGCCGAGAAGTCAAGAACTCAAGCCACACAACCTGGTTAGGAACTGCAAGTAGTCTCAATGGTGTAGAATGGTTATTCTCCATTTACTCCCATCTTCTTATCATTAACAGGTTCCAAGAAAAACAGCACATGGCTGATGTTAATTTTACAGTGGTCACTGAGTTTATCCTTTTGGGGCTGACAGATCGTGCTGAACTGAAAGTGTTCCTCTTTGTGTTGTTTCTGCTCATCTACATGGTTTCTTTGGTGGGGAATCTAGGAATGCTCCTTCTAATCCACATAACTCCCAAACTTCAAACACCCATGTATCATTTCCTAAGCTGCCTGTCATTTGTTGATGCCTGCTATTCCTCAGTCTTTGCACCCCAAATGCTGCTGAACTTCTGTGTTGAATGGGATACAATTTCTTTTTCTGCATGCATTGTGCAATATTTTTTTTTCGTGTCACTCCTTACCACTGAGGGCTTCTTGCTGGCAGCAATGGCATACGACCGCTACATGGCCATTGTGAACCCTTTACTTTACACAGTGGCTATGACGAAAATAGTTTGTGTTGCCCTGGTCGTTGGATCATGTGTAGGAGGTTTAATCAACTCGCTGACACACACAATCGGCTTGGTGAAATTGTCTTTCTGTGGTCCCAATGTCATCCATCACTTCTTCTGCGACCTTCCCCCGCTGTTGACGCTCTCATGTTCTGACACATCCATGAATGAATTGTTGCTGTTAATCTTCTCTGGCGTTATTGCCATGATCACTTTCTTGACTGTGATGGTCTCCTACATCTTCATTGTCGCTGCTATCCTAAGGATCCGCTCAGCAGCGGGTAGACACAGAGCCTTCTCTACATGTGCATCCCACCTCACAGCTGTGACTTTATTCTACGGCTCTATAAGCTTCAGTTACATTCAACCAAGCTCCCAATATTCCTTAGAACAAGAAAAGGTGGTATCTGTTTTTTATACCCTTGTAATTCCTATGTTAAACCCATTGATTTATAGCCTGAGAAACAAAGAGGTGAAGGATGCTGTGAAAAGGGCTCTAGAAATGAAATGTTTTCCTTAACTTTATACCTTATGTGCCCTAAAGTAATCTATAAGCAAGTGCTTTTGATAATGATATCTATATGAATTTATTAAAACTTGGGTCCCCAAAATTGGATTCCTTTGGGTTTAGTCAATTGGAACCCTCTGTTTTACAATAGAAGAAAAAGGCTGAGAAGAATGACATGTTATAGTACATATACCTGGTTATTGTGTAAACTAACCTAAAAGCCATGTGAACATCTAAGTTAGTTATGTCTGGACAATTGTTGACATTATAATTCTTGCATATGAGTAGAAATAAACATATATTTAAAGATATCTAGACACAAAACACAAAAATAGAGAGATACAAATAAAATTTATAAATGATAAAATATATTTTAACTTGGTCTCTTTGTTGCACAGAAAACAAATAAAATACATTTCAAACAAAACATATCACATTGAGTTGTTCAACAAAACTGACAGATGCATGATCTTGAAATTAGCCTGTACTCTTTCAGTCTGATATTGTTCAGAAGAAAACTAAACACTGGATGACACCACAGAGAAAGAACTTAGTACTAGATCACCTCCACTCTCACAGTAGTTAGTCTAAGTCAGTGGTCCCCAATCTCCCCCCTTCTGGTCCCTGGATGCCTCTGCTATCACCATATGAATTTTGCCTCCTGTCTCCCTCCCACCACAACCTTGGTCTGTGGAAAAATTTTCTTCCATGAAACTTGTCCCTGGTGCCAAAAAAGTTGGAGATTGCTGGTGTGAACCATTTCCCTATTCCTGGACCCATTTCACATTACCACACATGAAACTGAACAGGATGGAATGCCATCATGTCACCATTTCACACAAATAGGCCACTAATTCTCAGGTAGATCTTACCCTGAAAAATTTTAGAAAGGATGCCTTCATGATAATGAGGGAATCATTAATAATCAGACTAATTTCCTCCTTTGCTTGAAGGATTTTCCAATATCTTAAAAAATATCTTTAAGGATATTCTTTAGACATTAAACAGAAAATTTCCTGAAGGTATTCTAGAGAAGGGAAATATGTGAAACCAGCTGTTTTCCATTTTATTCAAACTGTACATGCAGGTACATAATGGTAAAGTCAGACCATAATTACTGATCACTCATGGTGATCTTTTTTCCCTAACTTGCTGTAAAATGTCCTATCTGGAAAACAAATACGGTATACTATAGGACATCTTCATTTACAAATAAAATTGTTTAATTTGGGGGGGTTGCTTTATACACTGAGATAACTACAGGCTAGTAAGCTAAGCACCACAATGGGACAGCTGAATGCTCTATGAATATTAACTCATGTACTTACATAGCAGCTAGCTTAAAATCCTTTTCTCTCAGTGACGGCCAAAATCAAATAAATGAATGGTTCCAATATCTGTGAAGGGAGCAAACAAAAACATGTATTATATAATAGAAAATTATGAAAAGAAATTCATATAATGGTTTGCCTTTTAGAATGAAAAAATAACATCACCACCACCAATGCTGAGAACCTCATAAAACATTCATATAGCCCTTCATGGTTTTCTAGGATCATTTAATATGTTATTTGAAGTTGGGGGTCCATAAAGCTATATATGTGACATTTATGTATAAGGCATTCATGCAAATGCATTTGTATGAAAGTTTTTATTTTAAAAATAAAATACAAATACCATATGATCTCACCTTTAACAGGAAGCTAAACAATGAGACAAATAAGCAAGCAAAATAAGAACAAAGACACTGAAATAGAAAACAGGGGAAAGTGACCAGAGGGGAGAGGGGAGGGAATTTCAGGGGGAAAAGGAGAAGTATTTACAGGAACTAGTATTAAGGACACATGGACAACAACTAAGGGGGGTGGAAATGGGAGGGAGGTGGGGAGCACTGCGGGGAGGGCTGGGATGGGAGTAAAAAACAGAAAACTGTACTTGAACAATAATTAAATAAATTTTTAAAAAGAATAAAATACAAATATAATAATAATGATAATTAGTAAACATGGTTTTATATAGTTCTTCACACTTTTCAAAAGCATTCAATATCTTATACCCTTGAAATATTACCCTTATAACTCAGAAAAATAAATCAAACTATAAATTTAAAAAATTGTCTTACAATATACACTCTATAGAAGAGGGGACTGGCCCCCAGGATGCAGATAAAATTATCGTTTATTAAGTGTGCATGTGTAGGAGAGGGGATTATTTTATGGAAAAAGTGTTTAGATTTTTTCAAATACTGATCTTAAGCTTGTACATTATTGTATTATATAGGAACTGGATGCTATGATGAGAAATAAATTCTCTCTTCTAGAATTTTGAGGAAAAGAAAGGTTGTGGGGAAGCTGTGGGCTAGAAATGGAAAAAAAAGTAATATACCCTGCATTCATATTCTGAAAGCAAATGAAGCTTGGTCAAGAAGATTCAAAATGTCCTTAACTGATAAGTAGTAAATAGGAAACAAATGAAGATTTTTCCTATGAAATATCAGATGCTATGCCATCAATTGTCATGTGCACAAGTAAGAATTGAGAATGGTACTTGTAGCTCCAAGTCCTTCAGTTCTTGCATAAAATTGGTTACTGTTCAACCTCAACACTGGAGAAATCATGACTCAGTAGAGGTCTGCTTCACAAAACTTTCTTCTGAACTCTTAGAAAAATCTTTATCAAATAGGTATCAATTTTCTATTTCATGTGTGTGGCCTTGGGGCTTGTGATTTGGAAATTGGCCCAACTCATCAGGAAAATGAGTTGCTAGTACCACCTGGGTCGGGCATGGCTCCATCTGCATGGTGCTGGTATTTGACACTTACTAAGAAGAAACCCACACACCAATACAACAAATTGGCATTCCTAAGATTTGAGATTTGGTGTTGTGCTGTGAGCACACTATGATTATATAAATTGAAGCTTCAGTGACAGTTTTCAGTTGTCTTCAGTCAAATTGGCCTCTGGACAAATTCAAACTCCCAGAATCATGGGCATCTATTGATCATACTGCCATCTCATCTAAACACTAATCTAATTTTTTAAAATACCCCCTAAAATATTCCCATAGTTGTATACCTTCCATTAAATAAATCAGCCTTTATTAAATTTTATCAATTATATGATGACTTTTAAAAATTTAAGCAAGATGTAAATCACTCCTTAAAGTTTATATCAATTGGTCTTATATGTCTTATGAAATCTCAGAATTCATATATTCTCATTCTTCATTCTTAGGCTCCTGACATGTTAAGTTTTTGCTAGAATATGATCCTGAGTCTAATTTTTGTCACCATGGATATTTCCTAATATTTCTACTATTCTTTATGCAATATGGTTTCAAATCCTATCACTATTATGTTTACTCCTTACTGTGTCAATGTCAAAAGGCTGAATGGAATAAATAGTAAAAGACCACAGATTTTTAAATCACAGAAGCATTGTATCAAAATTATTGTTCTACCCCTTCCTAAAGTGCAAATTTAGAGAATTCGTAAAATTCTTCTGAGCCACCTATAATATCAGTCATATGAATTGGAATATTTAATTAAATAAGAACACATAATGATTGGAAATAACAATTGTGAAATGCCTGGAAAATACTAGGTGTTTAGGCATTTAATAAATAGAAACCATTCCAGCTAAGATCCTTCTTAACATTTGATTGCCAAAGAAAAAAGGAGTACTCTTGTTAACAAAATTAATTCTAATATTCCCTAATTTTTAGTCTGTTTTCATGATTGCTTCATTTTTAAATGATTGTACATTTTTAGCATCTTTTATATCTGTGTGTTTGTTTGAATGCACTTGACTTAGCTTAGTGATCTATGTATTGCGATTTGCCTCTCCACCATTTTTAAATGCAGTCTATTATTTCATCTTGTATTTATTCCCTTTTATATTTTTTATTCTTTTCTCCAAGTAACCAATATAGTATTTTGGTAACTATAACCAAAAGTAATTTCTAAAAATTACTTTTATGTTCAGCCAACACAATGACAAAGATGTTGAAACTGATATTTATCTGTGTCATAATTGGCGGAATTACCTCTGATATTAAAAGGCAATCTAATTTGTGAAAACAACACACAAATCCTATTTAATAATTGCTTCTGCCTCTTTGGGGTTGTCTCAACTTAAAATATTATATATTTCCCATAATTACTACCAATAATAATGTATTTTGAAGCAGATAGTCATTAATAAATAAAGTGAAATAACACTTTAAAATTAAGAATAATATGCATATATATGCATATATAATGAATAATATGCATATGTAATTATGCATATATAATTGTGGATAATATGCATATATAATTCTAAATACTGGAAGAGTTAATTTTAATAAACCAACTTTTCCTTGCAGAGCTTTATACAAGACAAGAACATCAACAATTTTCTCTAAAACAGAGAAAAGACCAAATACATGAATTGGTACAATTTGGAAAGTTAGCACAGGGCCTTACTCTCCCTAGGCTTCCCTTGAGCTGTTTTAGCAAAGTTTAGTGTTCACAGAATCACTGGGGAAACCATCCTCCAAAGGCCATAAGTCTAATATAAACATAAGTCAGAAGAGTATGAGAAAAATTCAGGTTCCTCTCACTCCAGGTAGGTGTTGTATTTAGTGTTCTAACAAAGAAGTTACAAATTCGTTTCCTGAAAGCTTTTTAAAAACAACAGTTCTCAATACTTGCTGTGAATGGAATGTGAAGTAAAATAATCTGCCTCAAATACATTCCAATTATCGAGATGATTACTAGGTTTATTCTGTATTTCCTCAGTTCTCTATATTTAAAGCTTCATACATCTATGTACATATAATTATACCAATGGCAAAAGGAATTATACCAATTTATTTAAAGGAATTCTTTAACATCTAAGATTGATTACTGCGAATCATTGAATTTTCCTAAACCTGAAGAAAGATTAATAATTTATCTGGCGCTATTATCAGAACTAATTATTAGACTTGAAAATTTATTGTATATAACAGACTTTATAGCAAAAGAAACA